TAAAAAAATAAAACTGGGAGATGGTTCAGAGGGGGTAAAGGCATTGCCACCAAACCACCAGGACTGACACCTGAGTTCAATCCCCAAGATCATCTACATGGTAGAGGAAAACTAACTCTGCAGGTTGCCCTGATGTGCACAGGTGTACCAAGGAATGGAATACCCACACACATATACATAGAAACACACACACACACACACACACACACACACACAGGTAAATAAGTGTAAGAAAGTTTTTTTTGTTTTGTTTTGTTTTGTTTTAAGACTTATTTATCTATTATGTACATTGGGGGTTTTTACCTACATGTATGCTTGTGTGAGGATGCCAAATCCCCTGGAACTGGAGGTACAGATAGTTGTGAACTGCTGTAGGAGTGCTGAGAATTGAACACGGGTCCTTCGGAAAAGGAGCCAGTGCTCTTAACTGCTGAACCATCTATCCAGCCCCAAGAGAGTTTTAAATAACAAATAAAATCAGGGGTTTGCCTAGCATGAGTGAGGCCCTAAATTTAATCTCCCCACCATCAAAAAAAATTTTAATAAAATTAAAATGATAGTACAGTAACATCACCTTAGAGCAGTGGTTCTCAACCATCCTAACACTGTGACCCTTTAATACAGTTCCTCATGTTGTAGTGACTCCAACGATAGTTATTTTCATTGCTACTTCATAACTGTAATTTTGCTATTGTCATGAATTGTAATGTAAATATCTGATATGCAGGACATCTGATTTACAGCAACCCCTGTGAAAGGGTCAAGTGAGTCCCAAAGGGGTTTCCAACTCACAAACCACTGCCTTAGATCCTACAAGGAAATGTTTCACAGCAAAATTATATTGAAATAAAGCTAGAAATTTCTTGTAACAGTCTAATTTCTCAGGAAAATAAAACTCATGCAAAATCAAATCTACAATGAAATCAAATCTTTGTGGCAAGTAAATTAACTGTGGAGCATTTATATTTAAGGATTTTTCTTTCATTTTTCTGTTAAAACTTTGGCATACTCACAGGTTAAGCTCTGTGTTTGCCAACACATACACACAATAATCTGTCTCTCTAATAAGGACCCAATAACTATATAAAAAACAAGCCAAGAAATAGGTTCTAATGTAGTCATATGGTCTTTCCTGCCAGACTCCTGACAAATTTGTGCTTGGTGTTCCATTCAGTCATCAAAGAGATTAAAGACATATGGTCTCCTTAGTAAAGACTTTATTCAAAGGTAGGTCCCTTATTCTGGTCACATACTATTTGAATTATGTTTAAATCTGTTGCTTGACATTTGTCATATCCTTTGTGCCATGGCTACCACTGATAAGGTTTATCTTTCTGCTGGTTGTTTCAGTTCACCTTAAGTGGGAAACAGTCAATAGCAAACTGTCAAACAAGTGAAGCAACTAGCACTTGACAGATTCATGAATCACCTAGTGCAGATACTGGCATTGTTAGGAGCATCATGTTCACAGCTACCTACAGTCACCTAAACAAAATGCTCTCTCCAAGTGCTGCCGTAACAATGAAATTCACTAGATTCTCTTATTTGACCCCCACATAACAGTATTATTTAACCTAATTTGATAAGTTTCAGGATGAACATATTACATTTTTATACTCCATTCACATTCATTCATTCAGCTAACACCTGTAAAGCTCTTGAGTATCTTCCAGCTACCACATTCTACTTCTCTTACCACAATGGTATTCTAAGAAAAGGCAGCACTTGACCCTTATGAAAATATGTTCATTTGCTGGGGTGGTGGGGGTCAGGAGAAATGAACGTCGTGAAATCTCCCAATCAAATGGAAATATGAACTTCCTCACCGGAATTTCAATTGCAGGTGCATGGTTAGCACAAATTTCTATAAGGGACCTTCACATGACCTATTTACTTATACTTATGATGACAGAAGCCTTAACAAGTGTTTAATACGCACAAGAAAAACAATCATGCTACTTTTTAAGAATAATAGTAATGGTTAACTATCACTGAGACTTGCAATACTGCCAAACTGAAATCCAACTAGCCTCATTACCTCATTTAATCCTTACATCATCCCTAAAGGACTAACACCATAATCCCCATTTCACAGATCAAACTAAGACTTGCCTTACTCAAGGTCACTCAGCTGTGGAGAATTAGAATCCAAACCCAATTCTTGGGAAGATCTACCTCAGTGGTAGCATGCTTGCCTAGTATGAACAAAGGTTTGAGCCCTAGGACCAATCTCTCTCTCTCTCTCTCTCTCTCTCTCTCTCTCTCTCTCTCTC